AAGCATACTGAGGATACACAGTTGTCTAGATTTGTTGATATGCTTCGGAAGTTAGAGGTTAAGATGTCTTTCTATGAGACGATACTCCAGATCCCTTCTTATACAAAATTTTTGAAAGATATCTTGACTAAGAAGAGGGTGATTGGGAAGGAGACAATATCCTTGAGCACAGAGGTTAGCGCTGCGATTCTACAGCATGAGTTGCCACAGAAGAGATCGGATCCAGGTAGTTTCTCGATTCGTTGCAAAATCGGGAACATTGAGATTGACCGTGCGTTGTGCGATCTGGGTGCCAGTGTGAGCTTGCTTCCATTGTCTATCTATAAGAAGCTCAACATTGGAGATCTTAAGCCGAGGGGGATGGCACTACAGCTTGCGGATAGATCCGTCAAGTATCCTGCAGGTATTCTCGAGGATGTCCCATTGAAAGTCGGGGATTATTATGTTCCCGTTGATTTTGTTGTTTTAGACATGGATGAGGACTCAAAGATACCGATTATACTAGGCCGACTGTTCTTAAACACGGCCGATGCGGTGGTTCATGTTCGTGCTGGTCGTCTTACGATGAAGATAGGTGACGAGACTGTAGAGTTCACCTTAGATCACAACATGAAGCAGCCATCCACCACCGATTCAGCATGCTATGTCGATGTGCATGAAATCCTCACTCAAGAAGTCTTCGATCAGTTTCAGGAAGTCGATCCTTTAGAGATGTCTCTCCTTGCATCGAATGAGAGCATATACAGCAATTGGGAGGATATCCGGGAGCTTACACGAGCATTGAACGAAGGATCAGACAAAATTGGAGTTTTACAGAAGATGGATCCGGACCGATTCCACCTAGAAACAGACCGGATCCAAACACAGCCTTCCGAAGACAAACTGGAAACGAACCGATTCCACCTGGAATCGGACCGGATCCAGTCTCTGAGCAAATCACAAGTTTTTCACATCGACACGCCCGATTCTTCTACGAACGTCTCCGAACCTTCCACGACGATGACTAAAGACGTTCTAGAGACCAGAGAGCCACCATCTAACACGGGGACGCTGAATAAAGCGGATTGGAGTCTAGAGAATGCCCCGAAGGTGAAATTGAAGCCCCTACCTCAAAGGCTTAGGACAAAGGAACACACATACACGGATAGGAACACAGGACCATCATTGGAGAGAGGTACATATCCCGCTCATAATCATATATCTGTGTTTGAACCTTCTATTACAGGTTGTCGAATAGGGGTAATGAGCAAGAGAGGATCGAAACGAGCAAAATCATCGCTTAAACGTCCACAACATCCACCTCCGTCACAAGTTTGGAAACCCAAGAAGGATAGAAGGCTCAAGCATCCACGAGGTCTAAAAGATGCGTGTAACGCTCAACATCTAGGGTGGCGAAAGATCGATTATCTTCGCCTCTCAGACCCTCCCATCATTTGAGCAAGATAGGTCGAGCTAATGACGTTAAACAAGCGCTTCTCGGGAGGCAACCCGAGCACTAGGTAACTTTTCTTTTTCTTTTTCTTTGTAGCATAGGTAGTAGAGACCATGATTATATTTTGGATCCTTCGGAATGCATTGCTATTATTATGCTTTTGTTCGGATAACGTTTGTTGTTCTATGAGCGTTTACACCAGCACACGAGAGATGAGCATCGACTTCCGAGAGACAACGTTTGATAGGTTCCAGTTTACAGAGTTTGTGGGAGCTCTTGCGTTTGACGTGAGCTAACTTCATTGCGAGCGAACGAATTCCGCAGAGCTAAGCCTTCTCTATCCCTCTTATTGGTCCTTTCCACACGTTGTTTTCGATTCTACTTTTCCGGGCGAGAGTCTAAACCGTGGACGGTGTATGGTTCAAGTCTGGGGGGTGGATAGATCCTTCATACATTCAGGTCTATCTACTTAGGATTGCATTTGATCATATAGATTTAGGATCATATAGGTTCACGTGTATACCTCGAAAACTCGTTTTGAACATCATTTGGAATATTTGTGGGATGATAGAGTAGAAATATCTTGATGATCTAGTGACTTTGTAGAACGTGGTTGAACCGTGTCGAATTGATAGTTCTCCAGACTTTCCATATAAAGTTTGTGGGATAGGATTGTTATTTGGAACCTACGGAGTTGAAACGACTATATCCAGGTTATATGTTTCTTTTAGAACCTTTTCCGAGTCTTGCAGGTCAATGAAATCTAGTTCAACAAATGCCTTGGGAAAAATAAAGCATCTTGACACTCCCTGTCAAAATCTCGTCAACGAAAATCGTTCGAGGACATGAGTGCATCGATTGATGGTTCGGGTCTAAGTTGTGGGTCGGACATCGCATAAAAAGAAAAAAAATACAGAAGAAAAGAAAAAAAAAAGAGAAGAGAAAAATGATGTCCTTCAACTTCAACGTCCTAGAAACCCGATGTGCTAGCGTTCAATAGAGAAATTCTACAGAAAGGTAAAAATCCAGGTACGAAGTAGAACTAAGATCGAAAAGGCTAAGTTGAGATAAGGATAGGTTCAGAAATAGGCTTGGTGAGTTGTAGAGATTCTAACGGGTTCTAGGTGACAATAAAAATCCCATGGCTAGGTAGATTAGTCTTTGGTAGAAAGATCATAGTAAACCGGTTTGGGTACGATTCTCGGGAAACTAGCATTGGATGGATGTTTCGCTTTTGAGTTTCATGATGATGCTATTTGATGTTCGTCATTCCCTGTTTTGCAGATTTTATTCCTTCGTTCTTTACTCGAGGACGAGCAAAGGCTTAAGTCTGGGGGGATTTGAATGAGCCATTGATTGAGAGAGTTTCCCGTAAATCCCCTTCGATTTTCATCCGTTTATTCGTGAGTTCGAGTGCCGCTATACGCGAGCCGGTGATTGCGATCAGACTTGCTTCCATCCTCCTCCGTGCGTATATCATTTTGGTATCAGAGCTTGCTCGAGCCATAGGACGTTCCCCGGGTGAGATCTATCCTTTTGTGGTTTCGTTTTATTGTCATTTCAATTTCGTTTCATAACAAAACCGAAAAACACTATGCCCAAAACATAAGTTCCGAAAGTCTGATTTTGTGTTCTGTTTTGATACGCTGTAAACGAGGGATTCAAGCGAGATTCACGAGCCTCAAACATCTCCAAATCACGGTGAAATCCTTCCTTGATCGAATCTGACTCTGTACTTTGTGATTGTCGAATTTGTGTGCTCATTTGTGTGCTCAACTCTTTTAATCATGAATTTATCGAAAGAAGAACAAAGTGTTGTTTTGAAGATTCTTCAAGACATCGATGGTCGACTTGGTCGTCTTGAAGATATTCAAAACGAACGTCAATGCTTCCAAGAAAGACGTAATGTCCGTCAACGAGCGACTCATGACCACGGACGACATGACGATTACGAGGGAGCAAAAATTATGCATGGACGCAAACATGAACAAAAACATCAACGTAACAACACGTTTTCCTTATATACTAATCTTACTCGCAAGAACGTGAATTACAAGTGTAGGGACATAGTTCATATGGCACATGAATGTCCCAAACGACGAGAGAAGTCTATCAAGGATGACGGGGTATATAACTCCGATAAAAAGTCCGAGTATGTGACCGAAAAGAAGGAAACAACCGAGGAGCCCAACCGTGACACCGAAAGTGTATCCAAGAGTGTGATAAAGGCCAATGAAGAGCTGCAAGATGTTAAAGATGCATTGGAGGTGGTAACACAAAATGAGGGACTCAAACTTACGAGCCAACCTAGGACAAATGACACCACCGACAATGTTTGGATCATAAGTCAAGAACGTGGAGCAAAACCCGGTAATTTCATTCCTATTTTCATTCTTGTTTATGATTCATGCTCAGAACAGAATATACCGCAAATTGAGAAGCTAAGGGGAAAGCTCCAAAAGGAATACTCTTACGAGTACATCAAAGAGTGCACATGCAACGTTGATACATTTGCTCCTCTAGAAATTGTCCATAGTTTGCATGTATTAAATGCTAATGAAGAGGAGATTGACACAATAAAAACATGGACATCTAAGAGTACCATCCAAACTCAAACTTCACATGGAATAGATAGCTTCTATGCCACCAATGCTTGTACATGACGGATAAGCCATAACATGGGAGAACTGACCGGTAATGATGTTCCTATTTTCATTCTGATTTACGATTTATATCTTGCATTGCCAAAATGGTCACTCATAGATTTGAGAACGCAAGGATGGGTCGTAACCAATTCCCCGAGATCTTCACGTGGTAACTTTGTTCTTATCTTTATTCTTGTTTATGACCAAAGGAAGCAATTCGAGGAGAACACAAGCTGCACTAACATTGTTGCCCTAGATTTTGCTACTAAATTGCAGATCTTGTGTATGGTCGAAAAGAAGATTGAGGCAAATCAAACATTGATCATTGAAAGCCTCATCCGAGCACACGAAGTCAAATACTTTTATCATAGATTCCTGGATGATTCAAGGATTAGAACCGCTATAAACCCAAAGACAATCAAGCAATACGAGCCATTCGATCGAGGAAGAACACGAGAAGAAGAGTTGCGCAAGCAATATGATGTCGAGCACATCCGCTGAGACCAAGGTACGTATAAGGTCTCCTATATGTTTAAGGTGATTGATACATTTCCTTTTGTTGTAGAAAATAGAATTTTGAGGGCGAAATCTTCGCAAGGGGGAGGGAATGATGAGGACATCGGAGCTAGCAACTTGGACGAGGATGGGAGCTTAATGGAAGGAGCTCTAGAAGATGTTCAGGACTTGACCCATCAGGCGTCAAGCTCTTGCCAGATGATCATAACATCACAAGATCATTCGAAGCCGCGGGAACGGGATTTGATGTGCACAACGCGAAGGCTTCCCGAGCAAGCCATAGAGTCGAGCCTCCTCTCACTCGTGTTAGAGCTCGAGCCCTCCGCATCACGTTAACAAAGGCCGTCACTCAAGTTCTTCACGGAGTTCGGGCTCACGACGCGAACACCTCCCTTTTCGGCCAAGACTTAACCCGGAACGTCTCCTCCATCATGGTCGAAAGCTATGGGGCTCAAAGATGACTTCAAGCCAGCCGATAAGCTGTCCATTTCAGCCCAAGAACAAATCAAGGCCCAGCCCATTAGTCCATTAAGTTCCAACAGCTGTTTTCTTCCTAACCACCTTATTAAATGACAATTAGGCTCCTTCTCTTGCATGAAGACTTGCATTTATTGTTGTTTTCCTATAAAAACTACCTAGAACTCTTTTGTAATCAGATTTCATCTCTTGGAATAAAGTATTTTCGAATTGAGATTAAGCCAAGACTCTCTCCCTATCCTTGTTGGTTTGTCCGACAATCAATTTCGGTTTGTCCGAAATTCCCGAGCTCGATGTGTCCGGCTCACCCTTCGGTTTGTCCGAAGCCATACTCGTCATCTTCCCCTTCGTTTCCGCCATCCATCATCTGATTCTCTCTTGAATTCGAGTGCCACTTGAGTGAGCCGTTGATTGAGAGAGTTTCCCGTAAATCCCCTTCGATTTTCATCGTTTATTCGTGAGTTCGAGTGCCGCTATACGCGAGCCGGTGATTGCGATCAGACTTGCTTCCATCCTCCTCCGTGCATATATCACTATGGAGTTTAGTATTGTTCATAACAATACATGGATTTCATAACATATCAAGTATGCATAATACGTAATGAATCAAACACTCATCCATAAAACCATAGAACGTGCAATACATCAAATGTATCATAATAAAGCTCGCTTAACAGTACATCATAGAGCACTAAACCAACATGAGGGTCATGTTAGGGATATGGGCATTAGATGTTTAGCAGTCCATGATTAGAGCAAGTGGGAGATTGTTGGTTTAGTGCTCTATGATGTACTGTTATGCGAGTTTTATTTAGATACATTTGATGTATTTGACACTTTCTATGGTTTATGGATGAGTGTTTTATGTTGGTTTCCTGGGATCTCAAGAGCGAATCTAATTCCTAAGAGATCGGTTCTAGGGTTTGCGCAGCGGATGTGAAACAAAAATTTTGATGAAACCCTAAAACCTATCATGCATGATCTTGTAGAAACGTTAGAACGCTTACCTCAATCGATCCGGGGCCTATATCAATTGATGTGTTCGTCCGATCACATAAGGCAGGAAGAATACTCACCCTCTACACGTATCCACACGGCAGAAAGGATTCCAATGGTTGGAACTTGTAAGCTACGACTGAAGAACACGTCCTTCTTGTTGGTTTTAATGCGCTACGATGATCCATAATATGACATTTTGACTATGTGTTGATTCATTAGTTTATGAATGCATTACTTTTCCCGTTATATGATTGGCATGTTTGTTATATTACGGTAGATATCCTTGAATCAATGCAGATGATTCTAAACTCCCTGGTCAAATGCCATTGTGGGAACAGTGATGAATTAAGATCAGCATGATGTGTGATTGATGATGATGATCATATGCATTGGATGCAAAATCACAATCATGGGTACTCGTTTGGAACGAGTGACTGGATGACCCGCATGAGATTGTCATATGGGCATGAGTCATGACTTGAATCTCATACAGCGGTTCGTTCTTGGATCCTCAGACCTGAGATGTCTAGAGTATCTGATATGAGGAGTGGCGTGTCTTGACTACGTCAAACGTCGTCTTTAACCGGATGATCATAACGGTGTTGCTCAGATACGTTCATGAATCATATGCAGATAGTAGACATACAATACGGGACTTGTGACCTCCTAAGCAGGAGAGATGTCGTTGGGTCCCTCATGGAAATCGGACTGTGAAAAATGCGTGGCCACGCTATAGATGAAGTTACATCTATTTTATCAGTCCATTTGCCTAGACGAGTAAGCGGTTGAACTTGAAGGGTGGCTCATACCATGCCCTTGTTCAACATACGACATCGTGAGACAAAGGATCAGAATTTGAACTATTGCTGGCTTTGTTAGATCACCTCTAACTCTATTCTAGGTGGGTGGTCATGGCGTCTTGCTAGAGGCTAACCGTGACTTGTGGTTCGGGAAAGGGTTTCCGAAGCCACTACCACTTTGAATGGGCCTACAGGGTCACACACCATTAGGGATGGATCACACATGAAGAGAACAACATGAAAAAGGAACGACGGAACGATCTGGAAGAGTTCCAGATGGCCAGACCGTCCGGTCTAGCCGTTCCGGACCGTCCATTCTAGTGAAAATGGATTGTCCGTTCTGTTGGTTTAGTGCTCTATGATGTACTGATTATGAGCTTTGTTCAGATACATTCGATGTATTGATACTTTCTATGTTGTTTTATGAGAGTATTTTATTCATTACATGTTCTTGCATGCTAGATCTGTTATGGAATCCATGTATCATTAGGAATGATACTAAACTCCCTAGTCTTGTGTCGTTATGGGAATAACGACATAATAAGACTAGTATGATGTGTGATTGATGATCACATAGATGATCATAAGTATTGGATACGATCACAATCATAGGTATTCGTTGGAGAACGGAATACTGGATTGACCCACATGAGATTGTCACATGGACTAGCGTCATGACTTGAATCTCATATGACGGTTCCATGATTGGATCCTAAGACCTGAGATATCTACGGAATCCAACATGAGGAGTTGCGTGCTTTGATTACGTCAAACGTCCTGCGTAACAGGAGGACTATAAAGGCGTGTATCAGGTACGAAACGAATCATGTACTGGATTGTAGATAGTCAAGACGGGATTTGTACCTCTCATAAAAGAGAGAGATATCGCTGGGCCCCTCGTGTGAGCGAGACTGTAGAAATGTGTGGCCGCACTATAGACGAACGTCGTCTATTTCAGACAGTCAAACTCAATGAACGAGAAAGCAGTCGAATCAGATAAGGTGGCTTGTCCATGCCTTATGTTCGACGTATGATATCGCGATACAAAAAGGATCATCAGCCGGAATCATCACTGGTGTTCGTAAGATCACGAACCAACTCTATTCGAGATAGGTAGTCATAGTGTCTTGCTAGAGACCGCCTATGACTTGTATACCCGAAATAGGGATTTCAGGTTATACTGCTATGTCGAATGAGCCTACAGGGTCACACACGCAGGGAAGGACAAAAACACGAGAGAAAACAACGGAAAACCGAGTCGGACGGGTCAAGACCCGACGGTCCGGATGCGTGGTCCGTCCGTTCTGGGAA